AAATTTAAAGAACAAGTTAACAATATTCAATCAATATTTTCGTAACCGAAATAAAAGGTTCATACATTTCTCTTCTTCACTTTGAATCAAAATTTCAATCACACATTAAATTTCAACCTTTAGTTAAAATTACATCATTCTTGACATAATTAAATTCGGTTGAGTTATTTTGTGGTGTTACAAGAGAAACGGCATTTAATTTAGTTTATATATATATATATATATATATAGATAGAGAGAGAGAGAGAGAGAGGGTTGGGTTATGGTGATAAGAAAAATTACAGTAAAAAGTGTAAGAAGAAATGCTAACCATTGGATCAATCCTAATTAAATATCAATACATCTTAATTCCTTATAAAACTTAATTCATGAGTTAACATAAAACTAAAAGTGATAAAAGGGTTCAGGGTCTCTTGCTATACTTCTCATCCTGATTTTTAATTCTCACACCATCTTTCGCATGTATATATATAAATAGATGAGCGTTCAAATGAAAACCGCTTCCATTTGTGTAAACCGTATAAACCAATCTCATCTATTCATTTTCTTGATCAATGACCAATATTAGTTTACTTTATTTTAAGAAATTAAAAATATATATATTAAAAATTTATTTTATATCAGCAATAAAGGTAAAATGGTAAACAAAAATACATTATATTCAAGGCAACAATATCTTTCATATCATATTATAAATGAAACTATTTTATTTTGTAAAGCAATGTATTATTTTTACGTTTAAATAACATCCATTAATAAAATATATCAAAAAAATAAATAAAACACACCATATTCAATTCTATATAATGAATCGTTTCAAAATTTGAATTACATTATATGAACAAAACTAGATTCAAAATTTCATCAACAAACTAATCAACGTAATACTGATCATATTTTGTAATTTTTTCATTATACTGGTAGATGGACCCGTTACATTTAGATAACGAAATTTTTTCATTGTTTACTGAGTTCATAAAATTTTATAATACAACATGAATAGTTTCATTGTCTTAACTGTTTACTGCGTTCATAGAATTTTATGATAAAACATGAAATTTTACTCATGGTTTGATACGTCATTTGTTATTTTATGATATTGATAATGAACTTTATTCACTTTTCGCTAATGTTACAGTATTTTTATTCCTTATCCTGAAATTGTTTCAATATCATTCAGACAACCATGTAAATATGCACCCTATTCATTATGAAATGATTTCCAGACGCACCGGTTTCATAATGAATCCGTTTCAGCATGTAATTATTTCATGACGAACCGCATACATTATTCACCCGTTTTATTTTGCATTTCAACGTCACTGAAACGGAATTCACCATCAAACCAGTTTACTACTCATTGTTCAATTACGCCATGAACCAGTTTCACTTTCATAAAACCTGTTTCATGTAAATTAATTTCTTTATTTCGCTCCTGATTTGATGAATTCATTTATTTAATCCTTGCAATCATAAAGATTCTGGAGCATATTACAATCTTCAAGATTCTGGAACAGTTTCTTCATGTACCCGTTTTATCATGTATTATTTCATGACAAACCAAATACATTATGCACCCGTTTCAATACTCATGTTCAATAACGTCATGAACCAGTTTCACCTTCATGAAACCGATTTCATGTACATTAATTTTCTTATTTCACCATTGATTTGATTAATTCATTTATTTAAGTCTTACAATCTTCAAGATTCTGGAGCAGATTACAATCTTTAAGATTATGTAGCAGATTCATCATGTACCCGTTTCATCATGCAATTACTTCATGATGAGCCAAATACATTATGCACCCGTTTCATTTTTCACTTCACATATTAAATGGATCAACTACATCATCAATGCAACGGGTTCACCATTAAAATGTTTCACTACTCGTTTTTCATTTGCCACATGAATCAGTTTCACATGAATCAGTTTCACCTTCATGAAACTTGTTTCATTTGTATTAATTTTTTTGTCCAACTATGATGTGATGAATTTATTACATTATGGCTTACAATCTTCAAGATTCACCAGCAGATTCAATTACATCATAATATATTTAGTTTAAATTTTAAATATTAAAATATAATTAAATATTTAAATGTTACCATTTATAAAATTTCCTTAATTACGTTTTCTTAATTAAAATTTATTAATAATTTTCATATTTAATAGAAAATATTGTAAATGATCGAAATACCCTTATTGATTTTTTTAATTAGAAAAAAAATGAAATTTTTCTATTGGTCAAAATTAGTTTACACGGTTTATTAGAATTGCACGGTTTTCATTTGAACGTTCCCATATATATATATATATATATATATATATATATACTTTGTGAGATTCAATTGTAAAAATAAAAAAATACTGACACACACATATATACATACACTAGTTTTGTATCCACTTCAATGCAACTAAATATAAAACTTTATTGTAAATAAAAAATTAAGTAATTATTTATAAAATGTTCTATCCTTTAAATTATGACGTTGTTTGCAAGTAAAATGATTTTTTGATAACTAAATGAGAAATATAATTAACAATATTATTAAGTTTTTAACATAATACTTAATTATTATCTTAAGAGTTATTTTATTAAACAAATAGTTCGTGATTAAACTTCAATTAAATTATAATAAAAAAATTGAATTAAAGAAATTACATAAAACCGATAAATTTTAAATAATTAATTCGATGCTAATATCGATTATTTTTTTCAAACTTTTAAAATTTATATTTTATTAAAAAATATATATTTTGTTTTCTTAAAACCATATAAAAACACATTATAACATCAACTAGTTGTGTACCCGTGCAATGCTACGGGAGCCATGAATTTTAACGATTTTGAAGTTCCACTGGGTTTATAAGATAAGATTTAACGATGATATAAGTTACACTTGGTCTTTGCATATTAATACAATTTGAATAAATAAGAGTTATTGTTCAAATTACAGACTATCGATGAAAAAATTGTATGACAGTTTAAAATCCAATATATTTAAAATCCAACATATTTAAACGACTCCACAAATGTATTCGATTTACACCAAGAACAAAAAACCAAGAAACTTGAGTTTTAAGGTAAACACTCAAAACCAATAAAAGAACTACAAATTTGATAGATCATAAACCATGAAAAGACAAAAAAAGACGGGTTTTAAAATAAAATTTCAATTGCTTACCCTCTTTCTTGTCCAGAAACTCAGATTAAGGTTGAATTAATACATGTATATATATATTTCAAAAAAACCCAAGAACATATTAATTCAAAACATATTGTACAATACAATTTGGACAGCCTACCCCCAAAGTATATAGTATATATATAAATAAATAACTATAAAAGTATAAATCGCATATATTAAAAATATTTTTTCACAATATATATAATATATAATAATATAATTAAGTCAAAAACTATTCAATATTGGACTCATTTYKAAGRTATTAACGAGACGATTATAATTGTGTAACTTGTTAAAATAAAAATATATTTTTTAAACATGTTTTAATTGATATACAATTATGTATGTTAATTTGATAAATGTTTAAAATGAAACATTTAAAAGTAAAAGACGTAAAGTAAATTAATTAATTAATTAACTATAGGGATGTAAAGTGTAAATTTTAAATTATAATTTTAAAAAAATCGGTTGTAAAAGGGTGAGTGTATGTGAGGAGAGGATGGGGTAAAAAAGTGAGTATGTAGGGTATTTTGGTCATTTAGTATTTTAAGACTTTAAGACTTTTGCTAAATTTGCTTAATAAAATAACTAGTTGTGTACCCGCGCAATGCGGCGAGAGCCATGAATTTTAACGATTTTGAAGTTCCACTGGTTTTATAAGATAAGATTTAACGATGATATA